CAGTGGAATTCATGGATTGTAGTATCTTTATTGCAGCCCTTTTCAGTGGAATTCATGCATTGTAGTATCTATTTCAGCCCTGCCAGTGGGAATCGTGGATTGTAGTATATATTTCAGCCCTATCAGTGGGATTCATGCATTGTGGTATCTACTGCAGCCCTTTCAGTGGAATTCATGCATTATAGTATCTATTGCAACCCTGCCAGTTGAATTCATGTATTGTAGTATCTATTGCAGCCCTTTCAGTGGAATTCATGCATTGTGGTATCTATTGCAGCCCTGCCAGTGGAATTCATGCATTGTAGTATCTATTGCAGCCCTGCCAGTGGAATTCATGCATTTTAGTATCTATTGCAGCCCTGTCAGTGGAATTCATGCATTGTAGTATCCATTGCAGCCCTGCCAGTGGAATTCATGCATTGTAGTATATATTGCACCCTGTCATTGTAATTCATGCTTTGTAGTGTCTATTGCAGCCCTGCTAGTGGAATTCATGCAGTGTAGTATCTATTGCAGCCCTGCCAGTGGAATTCATGCATTGTGGTATCTATTGCAGCCCTGCCAGTGGAATTCATGCATTGTAGTATCTATTGCAGCCCTGCCAGTGGAATTCATGCATTTTAGTATCTATTGCAGCCCTGTCAGTGGAATTCATGGATTGTATTATATATTGCAGCCGTGTCAGTGGAATTCATGCATTGAAGTATCTATTGCAGCCCTGCCAGTGGAATTCATGAAGTGTAGTATCTGTTGCAGCCATTTCAGTAGAATTCATGCATTGTGGTATTAATTGCTCCCTGTCAGTGGAATTCATGCATTATAGTATATATTGCACCCTGTCAATGGAATTCATGCATTGTAGTATATATTGCACCCTGTCAGTGGAATTCATGCATTGTAGTATCTATTGCACCCTGTCAGTGGAATTCATGCTTTGTAGTACCTATTGCAGCTCAGTCAGTGGAATTCATGCAGTGTAGTATCTGTTGCAGCCCTGTCAGTGGAATTCATGCATTGTGGTATTAAATACAGCCCTGTCAGTGGAATTCATGCATTGTAGTATATATTGCACCCTGTCAGTGGAATTCATACATTGTAGTATATATTGCACCCTGTCAGTGTAATTCTTGCATTGTAGTATCTATTGTATCCCTGCCAGTGGAATTCATGAAGTGTAGTATCTGTTGCAGCCATGTCCGTGGAATTCATGCATTGTGGTATTAATTGCACCCTTTCAGTGGAATTCATGCAGTGTAGTATATATTGCACCCTGTCAGTGGAATTCATGCATTGTAGTATATATTGCACCCTGTCAGTGTAATTCATGCATTGTAGTATCTATTGCAGCCCTGTCAGTGGAGTTCATGCATTGTATTATCTATTGCAGCACTGCCAATGGAATTCATGTATTGTGGTATTTATTGCAGCCCTGTCATTGAATTCATGCATTGTAGTGTCTATTGCAGCCCTGCCAGTGGAATTCATGCAGTTTAGTATCTATTGCAGCCCTGCCAGTGGAATTCATGCATTGTGGTATCTATTGCAGCCCTGCCACTGGAATTCATGGACTGTATTATGTATTTCAGCCCTGCCAGTTAAATTCATGGATTGTAGTATATATTTCAGCCCTTTCAGTGGAATTCATGCATTATAGTATCTATTGCAACCCTGCCAGTTGAATTCATGGATTGTAGTATATATTTCTGCCTGTCAGTGGAATTCATGCATTGTAGTATCTATTGCAGCCCTTTCAGTGGAATTCATGCATTGTGATATCTATTGCAGCCCTGCCAGTGGAATTCATGCATTGTAGTATCTATTGCAGCCCTGCCAGTGGAATTCATGCATTGGAGTATATATTGCAGCCCTGCCAGTGGAATTCATGGATTGTATTATATATTGCAGCCGTGTCAGTGGAATTCATGCATTGAAGTATCTATTGCAGCCCTGCCAATGGAATTCGTCGATTGTAGTATATATTTCAGACTTGTCAGTGAAATTCATGCAATGTGGTATCTATTGCAGCCCTTTCAGTGGAATTCATGCATTGTAGTATATATTGAAGCCCTGTCAGTGAAATTCATGCATTGTAGTATCTATTGCAGCCCTGCCAGTGGAATTCATACATTATAGTATCTATTGAAGCCCTGTCATTGGAATTCATGCATTGTAGTATATATTGCACCCTGTCAGTGGAATTCATGCATTGTGGTATTAATTGCAGCCCTGTCAGTGGAATTCTTGCATTGTAGTATATATTGCACCCTGCCAGTATCATCACTTCCATCTCAATTTTATCCGATGTGCCATTGGGCTTTATCCTGGCCCCGATCATATTTCTGTTTACACACAGCTGCAGATATTTCTACTTGTGATGATGTATATTATATGTCTCATTTCGAGGA